CACCATGTACATCCATCAGTTCACCTGCTCTTGTGGAGCAAGGTAGATTTGCCGTAACCAGAGAACGCTTTCCACATGGATACGAGAACATATCGCAGCGGCGTTTTACAGATGAGAAAGGAAGGGTTTGCGAAGCTCTGTTGTGGGACACTTGATCGACTTCTGTCACTCTACTAGCCCAGACCATGATTTTAAGATCATCTATCGAATTTATGCTAACTTGCCGGTCGCGTTTTCTTCGTTCTAAACTTCTAAAGACAGTGAAGGCTTTGGTCATTCCTGAATTCAAACCAGACCTTTGTGTACAATTCATACTTCTGCCTTGGCCATAAAGGGATAGATATTTATCAATTTATTTTGTTTATTTAGTTGATCTATGTACCTTCCCCTCATCACTGTGATTATTAATATTATTATTCCTACTTTGTACTGTTTCTGGTATTATTTCAATTGTAACACTTATCATTCTAAATCAAAATATTTTATAAATGACACTTTATCTAATATATATATATATATATATATATATATATATATATAGAAAACAGTTTCCTTGACGGGTACATTAGTGAATAACGAAGTCTTGGAAAAGGAGGCAAAATTAATAGGATTAGTAGGCAACTGAAAGATTACGTAACAGCGTGAGGAGTCCAATGAGATACATTTCAATATAGCGAAAAACATATACATATATTTATATTTATATTTTTTTTAAGTATTCACACCGATTGTTTAAACTCACTCACAGGTCATAATTTCTTAGAAATAATATAAATATACGGTCGCACAACTTGATAGTAAATTCGTTGAAAAGAATCTCTCTTCACTGAATATTGTTCTCTTAATCTCACAGTGGGAATTATTTAAAATTATCTTAAAGAAGTTTAACAATTCACTGGGACCACCTATAGCTTATTGGTCAGTCACCATTGGGTGTGACGGGTTCGAATTTCCATCCTGCCTATTAGTGTTTGCGTAACTATGTACTATTCGTGGCGTATGCTACTGATAAGATTTATCAGTAGTGTATAAAGAAACGTTCATCAGCATAAAACAGCATCAAATAGCAGGGAGATTGACTTCACGTCATATGAACCAAGTGAACCAGCGTAGTGGGAAAACACATGGGAGACGTGAAAAGGAAGACAAATAAACATAATCGGAAGGAACGGCGGCAGAAGTAGAACAACACGGAAGATCTGTACAAATGATGACTTGAAGATAAGGTGTACATAATTTCGCTAGCTATGTAGAGATACCAAGTCTCTTTCTTGTCTTCTAACGTTACAGCCTTGATGAACATATTTAGATTGACAAAGAAGTGTAAAACACATCTAATCAAAAAGATTACAGAATTGAAAAATGATTTTATGGCAAAATCATAAAAGACCCCCAAAAACAACAGAAACCCTGAGATAATTTATCAAAAGAATACAGTTCAGCTATTCAGTATGTGGTGAGAGCTGTCTGCTAGCCGAAATTGGTAGACAACAATTTACGTCAATGTTTACATCCAAAATCTTGGTCATGAGAAAAAAAAACAAAGACCAACTCAACAACCAATCACAGCAGACTTTGCGTGGGCGGATATGATTTGCAGATATATGGTCTGACCTTCAGAGAAACGACCACAGAGAGATGACAAAATAACTTCCAGTGAGAAAACAACCAATCAAAAGACGTTGCTTCTCTGCTAACAATAGCGAATAATAAATGTACATAAAAATCTATAAATATCTCTTGATTTCCTCAATAAACGATCTGTTGCCTGGCCCTTGTCTACTGTGGTTACAAGTATAGCATTTTTATGCGGAAGGTTGCAAGGGCTTACACAATTAACCAATAACCTATGTGAAATAATCTGAGATGACATCTGAACTCAGAACATAATGGCTCAAAGTCCACTGTTATGCCTATGAGTTGCATTTGGTTTAAGATTTCAAAAGTTTAAGAGGAAATGCAAGAGACAATTCCTCTTAAAGGCTAGTGATTTTTCTATAACTTTCTACAAGAGATGAAACCTCCTGTCAGTGTTAATAAGTGTGGCAATGAAAGATACATAAAGGATTAACCAGTTACTTCAAAAAATCACTTCTTAGTTGTATATTTCACTCACCAGTATGCTGCAAGCTTGTGCAACTTTGAACATCTACTAAAATATAAACTACACTCATCAAAAAGAGATACAGCAGGTTGGATACGAGGAAAAAAACACTCTCTGTTGACATTGGTTAGTGGTTGCGCGACATCGTGAATTGTCAAAGTTTGAATTCATGAATTGGTCATTAGATCGGTTCCCAGTAGCTTAATAGTCCAGGGTTCACACTTTAGTGGGGGTGCGTGCCGATGAAGAGTCTCAAACCAAGACGAAATGGCTGTCCAGTACTTCCTGGGGGTTTTCCAATGGTTCGCCAACCGATGTCAGCTCATCATGAAATCTTGTAACCAATCAATCAAATCTCCGAAAACCAACACCTGAATAATTAACAAGCTTAACTTTTCAAGTCAGTCATGCATTGAATTCGGTTAGAGAATCACTGAAAACCTTACAGCACTGGACAGCTGTTTCGTCCTATTTTGGACTCTTTATCAACGCGCAATCACCTATCACTCCACCTACTGCCGATTGACCTTAGAACCTTTATATTACGACGCCAGCTCGTTGACCATTCATTCTGTCAATTCACGATTTTAAGCGACACCACCAGCCAGTATCATCTGGCAATTATTTGTCCTCACCTCCGACCGAGTAAGCCATAGTGATCATCACCTCTTAATGGAACGTCAGGTAACTCTGTTCTGTAGTCAATCAATTACCAGTGGGAATGAGATTAATTTTCAAGTATTATTTTGTAGGGATTTGATTAGTTTCACGTTTGGTTACAGATTGATATCGGCTTTTCGAACTATTGGAAACTAGGGAGTACTACTGGACAGCTTTTTTTCGTCTTAGTTTGGTTTCGATCACTGGTGTGATCATTAATGCCTACTTTTAAAGCTTCAGGTAACTAGGACAAAGCAGCTGTCCAGCAATTACTAGTTTCCAGTGAATCTATAACTAAGTCCATTATGAATAAGATTTTATTTTGATAAATCACACAGTGTTGTACAGTAATATTTACTGATGACCACATTTCGAGCACAATTTATTACTACTGCTCATCGCCATCATATCAAGGTACTCACTCACACAACTTTCTTGCTTCATTTATAAACATGTGTGGAATTGACCAGATATTTGAATAAAAATCAATATGAGATAATGTACATTCAGAGATAATAGTATGAGTGTTATTGATCAATTACAGTCAGATGGGAAATAAGACGAGTGTTTTTATAGTCATAATAAGTAACTTGTTAGAATGTTGTGATGTGATTGAATTGAAATAGAATTTTGAGATTATTTATTATCCTCTTCTGATTTGACTGACTGGTGGTAATAATATCTTCCAAACATATCTCTGGTGTTTGCATTGAGTCATTTCTGTTGCACGTGTTAGGTGTAGACTCGATGAACCAGGCAGGATTCAGTAATCAAACTCTCTCTCCACCTACCTAGATTACTTTTTAGAATTTTAACCCTCTCCCACCGTGGCTGTGTGTTAATGTGTGAAGTGCAATCGCTGAGTTTTATTTTTAAAAAATTGCTTATCTTCGTGGGGTCACGAGACTCGGGGCCAGAGACAAGTTCTGTAGGCTAAAAGACCCGATGGACCCAATTAAACAAAATAATATAATTTACAAAATATCTTGCAGTGACTGTTATTTAGGTCAACTACACAGGTCACACTAGGAGATCAGCAGTAGTCAGGTCAACATAACATAAGAATTTAGCTAAGGCAAGAATGGCTGATCCCACGAAGATAAGTCGTTTAGAAAGAGGAACTCAGCAATGGCCCTGCATGCGTTAACACATAACCACACAATAGGGAGGGTGGGAGAGGGTTAAAATTCTAAAAAAGTAATCTAGGTAGGTGGAGAGAGAGTTTGATTACTGAATCCTGCCTGGTTCATCGAGTCTACACCCAACACATGCAACAGAAATGACTCAATGCAAATACCAGAGATATGTTTGGAAGATATTATTACCGCCAGTCAGTCAAATCAGAAGAGGATAATAAATAATCTCAAAATTCTATTTCAATTCAATCACATCACAATATTCTAACAAGAAAGTTGTGTGAGTGAGCACCTTGATATGATTATGAGGGGCAATAGTTTGTGCTCGAAACGTCACCAGTTAATATTAATGTATAAAACTGTGTGATTTAATCAAAATAAAATCTTATCCATAATGGAGTAATACTCTACCACCACAGTGCCCAAGTTTCATCCTGATATTAATAACTCTGTCAATTCATGATCAAACCTAAGACCAATCGAATCTCTACAAATCGACATTTGAAATTTAACTTCTCAATTCACCAACAGTGTAGTGTGTGTGTGTTACTGACAAGAATGCTATGAGTAGTATACTGTGTGTGTATCTGATATCTTCTGGAAGAATCTTAAGTGGTACAGAGTAACGGATCAAGGTGTGAGTAAAGAGAAAAAGGAACGAAAGCCATTGTGTGTGTGCAACAAATATAGGAAGCATGAAATGAAGACGACAAAAGAAGCAGAGCACGAAGAAGCACTTCACCATCTCTCAGTGTACACCCCTTCTTCTTTTTCACATAAAACAAAAAAATTCTACTACTGAGAATACCACTGTGCTCTGCCACTGGAACAGAAGTAAAATCGATCAGCTACAAAAAAATACAGCAGATGGTGGTTATCCACATGCAATACTGTTTAGGATAAAGCTCTCACATAAGAATATACCAGGGAGACCAACTCAAGCTTTACCAAAAGCGCTAACACACGGAGTCAGATAGTTTACTGATGACTTTATCAAAATGGCGTTAACACAAAACAAGAATGCAAAAAAAGAAACCTCTGACAACCCTGATACCTCTTGGTATATACCTCTACACATGCATACATGCATGTATACATACCTCTAAAATTTGACTCAATGGACTTGAGTTAAACTCTTTCTGAAGACAATCTGTATTCGGTGAATAAGGGAAATCACTAGATGCATAGACTAGCTGTAACGATTGACTGGGTTCATCAAGCAACGAGGAGTCAGTGTGCGTTTGAATTGCTCGACCTATTTCAAGAAGAAGAAGAAAAAGAAAACGAAATCAATTAGAATGAAAATATAAAGATGTTATTTATAAAGATGGTGTCAGATCATCCATATGCTAACTGTATGCGCTTACGCAAAGCCTTTGTTCTCATTTTCTCACCACCAATATTGGGGACATAAACATTGACGTCAATTACTGTCTACCAACTTTGGCTAGCAGCCAGCTCTCACCACATTTCTACCTCAGAAACCTGTTTTGTTGATCAGCTATACGTAGAAGAAATAGGTTTGAAAGACGCAAATATGTATACGAATCAATATCCATGAACAGATTTGTCTAACACTATCCGGTGAGACAAACTTCACAATATACGAAATACTTCAGCCTAGATAGGTTATACCTCACGGCCAAGTGCAGTATGTTACTTCTCAACAATCACTTGAGTTACCATGGAGTTGGCGATGTGCCACACCTATTGAGTGAGAACTAATGACACTCTCTGGCTGCTGAAACTTCATACGGTGGAGTAGGATTCGAACCTGTGACCTAGTGACTGAAAGTCAGGAACCCAGACCACTGAGTTACAGCTCTTTAGTGGAAATGGAGTATCTGAAAATCTCTCAACAAATCAAAACTACACGGAAATGAACTCATGTTTACCTAAATATCGATTTTTTTATCACTTCAGTGTTTATTTTATTGATGCAAATGCATGCGTGGTATGACATATAATCACGCACTGTATAACACAGCTTATTAATTGTTTCAATGAAACGCCAAGCTGGTACAATGTAGACGCTAACAGATGCGTCACACAAAACAACAGAAAGCAACTTAGGGAAAATAACAATTGAGGCATAACATAATTACTCCATGTTACTTTCAGAAGAAGGAGATTGTAACATGTTCTCCACTGATTATATCTGGAGTCACTGATCCCGACTATCTCTCGGACTCCACCAACATATTCTAATCGAACACAACTATCCTTCAGTATCACGGTACCGTTTTAGGCTAACTACCCGTCCCTCCCCCCGCTTTTTCCACCCAGTCGAAGAGCCAGCACACAATGAACAGTGTAGGAACCGCTGTTATAACATTCGCAGTACATGTTCAAGCCATCGAAGACAATGTCCCAGGATGCAAGCAATTCTATGGAGGCAGCCAAGATCAGACATACAAAGTCACCGCACCTCCTCAACTAGAAGAGGACAGGCACAAAAGAATTCTTTAAGGGGTTCATAGGTGACCCGGAATCGCATATTTATCTCTGGATATCACTTTACAACTAGAAATTTCATCCGTCACACCTCCACCAGCACTCACATAACTACCTAGATATACGAAATTACCGGTTCAACTAAATCAGTGAGTGCAGGTACAGACACTAAATGCCAACCTATTAAGTGCAGTTTGAATAGCCTGTACGGTAATGTACAGTCGATATATAATAGGTGTGTGGAACACAAAATTTCATAAGAAGAACAGGGAAAAAGCAATACTTACTTGTCGATGAAGTATTATTTTCATGCAAAACTTTATCTGGTGAATTAACAAGCTGGCAGGAGGAGATTTTTCGAGTAGGAATAATACTTGATGGACTTAGCATAGTCCAACTAGTATTATTATAAACTGGACTGATGAGTGATTCTTTCTAGTAAAAGAAACGCAATATATATAAATGCACAAAGTGATAAGCACATCAGCAGTTATTTAATGATATTGTGACTATCGCATAGAATTATAACTTTACAGGTACGAATGCATACAACTAGAGATCAAGTATGCTATGATTTAATCAACGTTGAAGAAACGAGCTTATAATTGTTTTTAAAAAAATATCAATAACATGGAGTGCTAATCAAATCTGACTGACTGATTGACTGACTGGATTTCAATATATAACTTTGCACAGAATTGCAACAGCACTTCAAGTTGCCAAACTCCATGTAACATACAAAGGAAGGCAAAATAGAGAAAAGAGAAGGTGGAAAGAACTACAGGGAGTAGAAATGTGCAGTAGAAAGAATAGTAACATGGGTGTATTTGGATGTGAGAGATGACAACGAGTGAATTCATCGGCATCACTGCGAATAATCTTGAGTCATATTCATCAATAGCCTCTAATCATTATTTCTTGGTATTCTGAAAACTTCAACTAAGCATATGGTTCATACCAACTGTCGTCAAATACTCCATGGATTGACCCAAGGTTTCCGTTTGACCAACCCTTAATCTTTTCAAACCTAATCCTATTCCCGCTGAGGAAGACGGTGGCTGAGTAGGCGCAATGCGTTCTACAGCGAATGCTTAGCTAATAGAAACAACAAACAATAAGCCTTACAATCAGTTTTGCAAACGTTGTTGTTAGTCTCACAATTTGACTATTACTCTTAATCTCATTACTCTTTTCAGTTCTTTTGTATTTTTTATCGATCACTTCACAGAAAATTCATCAAATGAACTATTTTATTAGTCAAAATTTTAAGGCGTATTTTTGTTTCTTCTCAGTTTTAGTACAATCAATATGGAATTTTACAACCCATTTGTGTGATAGATACAGTCAGAATCAAATTAGTCCCCACCCATCTTCTTGATTTTTCGGTGATTCCTCACAGACGTTTTTAAAAGACATTACAGTAAACTTAATATCATATCAGACTGTCATAGAACGGAACTGTCATCAAAAGTACCCCGTCAATATTTTTGTTCTTAAACACATTCTCGGCATTCTTTTCCTTTTCAACATGAGCTTTAAAAGATACATCTTATTTATATACATTTACATTTAGACACGATGGAGATGTGTACCACAGATAGATAAAGTCAGATTTGAAGTAAGTTCACGCTAAAGATTGGCTGTTGCTTAGTAAGACAATGAAAGCTTCGCAACTAAACCATCCGTCTAAGAGAAGAGATTATTATTATTGTTTCCTTTAGTTTCTAGAGGAACATATGGCTTCAGCCGCACGCCTACACTGCACGTTCGGTTCTCTGCCAACGTTTCCACCGGACTCCACGTCTGCTAACATACTTTTATCTCCTCTTCGCATGACCTCCTCCATGTCACCCTCGCACTGATGACCAACTAACTCACTGCTTCCTTTTCGGGTTCCACTCGAGCTATAACCTGGCGTGTGATGTCACTCATTTGATGGTTTGTTTTGATATGATTATGAGCAATAGTTTATGCTCAAAACGTCATCAGTTAATATTACTGTACAACAACACTGTGTGTGATTTATCAAAAAAAGAATCGTATCCATAGTGGAGTTATGCTCTACCACAGTGCCCAAGTTTTATACTTATACCAAAAAAAGACATTTTAAACCAGCATATTAAAATTAAAAAGTGGAAGACAAGCAGCTGAAAAACTGAAGACGAAATCGGTTACTACAGGAACTTTGGTAAGTATAAAGGATCAGTTAGCTAAATTGATAAATACCTAATGACTCAAATAAAGTATAATTATATTTCAATAGTTTACACACAATGATAAGTTTTGTTATTGGTAATATTTATGCATATTATTCAATCAATCCTAGAGAGTGGTAGTCGTAACCTGTAAAGCTTGATTGTAAAGTTTGCGATTTTAGTTGTGTATGGTATAAATTGACACACTAAGCATAAAGGACAAGATTCGGATTTCTGAAAGTAACGTCAAACCAGTGAGCGCTTCTGTATGGCTTAGAGACTCGGTGCACACCTTCACCAAAAGTACTTCCAACAGGTTACTGCAGACTTTCATCAATACCTGCATTCTCTGACTCAATTCATGGGCCATTGGATCGGGTCCCAGTGGCTCAATGGTCTACGAGCTAGCTCGTCTTGTAGACAGAAGGTTCTGGGTTCGAAACCCGCAGCGTGGGTACGTAATGCTGAAGGGTGCCAAACTAGACAGGCGAAACATATGTCCAGTACTCCCTGTGGCTGGTTTTCCAATGGTTCTCTAACTAGTGTCAGCTCATGATGAAATCCTCCGACCAATGACTCAATAATGAACATGAGATGACCAGTCAGAAGGCATTTTTTCCTTCACGTTCCCAGTGGAACATGGGGCTCCAAGCTAGACGCTTGAAGTTTCTGTAGCAGTGTTAATTTTTACAGGATGGGGTTGCTAGCCCCATGCCCAACCTTTCCTCTTCACCAACTTTATTACCGGTTTATTGAGGTAAAGCAGTGCGTAGGCCGAGGGTCGAACCCCGGACCATGTGCATGGTCGGCGAGCGTCCTAACCGCTACGCCACCGACGCACTTAAAATCCCTAGCACCCCCGGGTGAGCTCGAACCACCAACCTTTCGGTTAACAGCCGAACGCGCTAACCCATTGCGCCACGGAGGCACGAAGGCATTAACAACAAGAAATTCTGCCAACGAATCAACCAAGAACCAGTGATCCAACAAATATGTAGAAGGAAATGGAGATGGATTGGACACACGCTGTGAAGACCGTTAAGTGACATCACGTGCCAGTCAGACCCCTGAGTGGAATCCGAATAGAGAACGACGAGTTAAGCGTTCAAGGGTAACGTGGAGAAGACAGTGTAAGGAGAAAATGACAGCTGATAGGCAATCATACAGCCAGTTAAAGAGGACTGTAGGGGACGGAATGAAATGGGGATGCGCTGTTGAAACTCTCTGCTCTACTTGGAACCTGTCTGTCTGTCTGCTTTCGACATAGAACTTTGCACATATGTGCAGCAGTTCAAGTCGCCACACTCCATGTAGCACACAAAGCAAGAGAAGACAGTAGGAGAAATGCATAATAATATAGACAGTAAACAGAGGTGTGAGACAAAGGAATAGTAACAACGAAGAACAAAACAGTTTAATTGGAAATCATGAGTCACAAGGAGTGGATGCATCTGCGCCACTGAGAACGATTTTGAGCCACGTCACCAATTGTTTCCAGCCTTCATTGCTTTTTACCGTCCCGAGGACCCCAACCAGGAAGCCAGTCTACACCTTCCTACTTGGCTTAGACTAACTGTTGTAGATTTCATTGACTGGTGCCATGTTTTCGTTTGACTGCCGCTAGCTCTTTTCCAGCCTGACCCTATATCAGCTAACATTGCCCGTCGAGGAAGGCGATGACTAGGCATACGTAACACATGTCCTAACCATCTCAGTCGATGTAACTTATAGGAATAATAGTATAATGTGAATTCAAGTAGGTAAAGTAACGGATTTTCTGCGTGTCAACATGCACAAATTCTAGATCAATGAACTTCACCTGGTCGAAATTTCGTGTCTGGTACACGAATCAGATCAGATCTTACGATTTAATAAAAAAAATGTTAGAATAGTCATCTAAGAGACCAACCAAATATAGACATATATATATATCTGTAGGCTAAAAGACCCGGTGGACCCAATCAAACAAAATAATATAATTTACGAAATACCTTGCAATGACTGTGAGTTAGATCAACTACATAGGTCAAACTAGTAGATCGGGGGTAATCAGATTATCGGAAAAAAAGAATTTAGCTAAGGTAAGAATGGTTGACCCCAAGAAGATAAGTAATTTAGAAAAAAGCTCAGCAATTGCACTACATGCATTAACACACAACCACAAAATAGGGTGGGTGGGAGAGGGTTAAGATTCTAAGAAGTAATCTAGGTAGGTGGAGAGAGAGATTGATTACTGAATCTGCCTGGTTCATCGAGTCTACACCCAACACATGCAACAGAAATGACTCAATGCAAATACCAGAGATATGTATGGAAGATATTATTACCACCAGTCAGTCAAATTAGAGGAGGATAATAAATAATCTCAAAATTCTATTTCAATTCAATCACATTACAACATTCTAACAAGTTACTTATTATGACTATAAAAACACTCGTCTTATTTCCCATCTAATTGTATTTGATCAATAACACTCATATTATTATTTCTGAATGTACATTATCCCATATTGATTTTTATTCAAATATCTAGTCAGTTCCACACATGTATATAAATGAAGGAAAAAAGTTGTGTGAGTGAGTGACTTGATATGATTATGAGTAGCAATAGTTTGTGCTCGAAACGTGGTCATCAGTTAATATTACTGTATAACAACACTGTGTGATTTTATCAAAATAAAATCTTATCCATAATGGAGATATATATATGTAAAGGCTTACCTTTGTTAAACTGGATACTTTAGACAGAGAACGAAATCGAATCAGGGCACGTTTGAATAATTCATCAACAATTAAATATCGTAGATTAGCCATTCTTTCTTCATTAGTTAATTTGACAGCTTTGCAGCTTTAGCTTTTGTATAGTTCATTGAATCAATCGCAGGGAGAGAATTTAATCTGTCTATATCTAAAATCGGTTTTGTTAGATGAGAAGTGAATGTGAATGTGAACTCACTTGAACAGGTGGAGGAAGAGGAGAAGACTGTATCAAGGGGTGTAGTATTCTTTTGATTTGTTTTACAGCCGTTGTTGTTATTATTATTGTTGTTGTTTAATTTAGATGAACAATTGCTTTCACTACAACCTTGGGGTAGATGAGATCCACACGCCTATAAAAAAAATAAAAGAAGAACACAACACAATGAAATTTAGTCCTTTATCTAATTTTCTAGTTTTGATATTGTCAGTTTATATACACGTATACCGATAATAAATATAGAGGCTATAGAGGCAGACAGAAACGAATTGATTTCTGACCAAGAACTCGAAGTTAGAACGAAATTGCCACTACTAGACGAGATAATGCTGGGAGTGCAGCTCTATGCCTGACTTCCACAGTATTTAAATTCCAGGGGGAGGAGAAATATACAAATAAACTGGCCCATTTACTCTGATTTCTGTTAATCAGCGATATGCTGCGTTAACTCCAGTCAATGTCGTCGGCAAATATTCGTCCTTACAACTAACATGGTGAACTCCGCTTATCACTACTTCCAAGTTGAACTTCAGCCAAATTCATATTAGTTTGTTTATTAGATATATCACACAGTGAAACAGAGAAGTTAGAAGCAGAATAGAAGGCCTTCAAAAATTATGTCTGAGAGAAGAGATCCACAGAATCGTTAAAAATTACATATCAGATCTGAAATTGAGAAATTAAAACAAAAGCTAAAAGGAATAGTTACCAATGTAGATTAGGATCTTATAACACAATCCTCCAGCAATGCAAAATAAGCAACTTTCCAAAAGTCAAAAAATAGTCAAATCAAAAAGTTCAACAAATTATTAGAAGAGAAATCTTCATCTCAGAATGATGAAGTCAACAATCCATAGGCAACGGTGATCGATAAATCAAAGTGGGTTATCAATCTCTCAACGCATATATTGTCCTACGGAAATAGGTGTATCAGAAAAGGGACTGAATTTCAATGTATCAGTAGACAAGCTGAAACCTGAGGATGTCATCCCTAAAATAGAAATAGCACTGAGTGGGATAGACAAAACTACAGCTGATGAAGTACGAGTACATTGTGCACTGACATTAAGACGACAAAAATGTGGAAAGCCTAACCTGACAAAACAAGAGATAGAAGCCCTGAAACACCTTAAGAATAACAAGGATATAGTTATCACAAAGTCAGACAAAGGAAATGCAACAGTAGTATTAGACAAATCAGACTATTTGGACAAGGTAAATACTCACATACAAACAGGACCATATGAGAAAATTAATAAACCAATAGATACAGTTATGAATAAAGTTAAGGAATCCACAGCGGACCTTATACGCCGAATGAAGCCATTTCTATGTGAGTCTAAGTGGTTTAATTTAATGCCCAAAACTAATAACCCCAGTAGAATGTATAGTGTTGTTAAAGTTCATAAGTCAGGATACCCTATTAGGCCTATAGTTGATTTTAGAAATTCACCTACCTATGAATTATCTAAATATTTAGCCATGGTATTAAATCCCCTAAAAATCCACTCGAAATCTAGACTAACTAATTCTTATGAACTAAAACATAGATTAGATAATTTAAAATTAGATAATGAAGAAAAAATGGTTAGTTTTGACATCATCAGTTTATATACACGTATACCGATAATATAAATACGGCTATAGAGGCAATCAGAAACGAACTAATTTCTGACCAAGCACTCGAAGTTAGCACGAGATTGCCACTACTAGACGAGATAATTCTGGGAGTGCAGATATGCCCAACTTGCACAGTATTTAAATTCCAGGGGGAAAATAATACAAAAAAACTGAGGGAGTTGTCATGGGGTCATCAATATCCCCGGTTGTGGCAGATATATATATGTAATCATGGATAGGTGGGAAAACACAGCGATTGAAACGTTCAGCCCCATGACACATTCACTGTACTTAGAACACAGGATATAGATAGATTTTTTGAACATATTAACTCAAAGGTGGAGGCAATTCAATTCAATTCACTTATGAATTGGAAAGTCAGGAAGGGGAGCTTCCAATGTTAGATTGTAGCGTAAAAAAGGAAAGAAGATGGGAAGTTAAACACTAGTGTGTGTTTACAGGAAACTCAAACAGATATTTGAACTCCCGATCATCCCATCCTATGTCAGTGAAAATAGGATTGATGAAATGTTTAAGTAACAGGGTACAAAAACTAAGCAGTGCCAAAGAAGAACACAACAAGCATGAATCACTAGTGATAGGAGATATTTGAAAGAAGTCACCTCTCTTCCACTTGCCTAGCATCTAAGCAGCATCAACTACAGGATCACAAAAGCAAAACAGGACTTCACTACTACTCTGAAATCAATTTCTAACCGGTTTCAATATAGAACTAGTTTGCACAGGTATGCAGCAGTTCGAGTTGCTGCCACACTCCCTCCTTAGGCGTTGTGTTAATATCTCACTGATGTTATCCCCGAAGAACTGAAGTTTTAAGAATAAAACCTTCCTGTTTCGGAGAACTGTTGGTACTTTGGCCTGTCTTGATTTTTGATTTATATGCTTATCGGTGGATTTTTCTGGATAACCGTTCTCATTCAGCAACAGTTTAATAATAATAATAATAATAATAACAATAACCTTGGCCATCAAGGTTTAAATGATCCTCAATTTATTGTAGAAATTCCCTTAATTTTATTTGAAATTCTATTTGCCATTACATTTTTACGGGTATTAAAATTTATGCATCTGTAGTGAACTGCAATTCCATTACGATCTTACTTAACAAATCGATAATATTTAGAAACACCAATGTTTTGAAATAATAGAGAAGATTTGTAGCTCAGGTGGATGATTTGCAATTAACAGTGTTCTCTGAGCTGGTTGGTTTAGTTACGGAGCTTTCGTCGTCCTTCTGGACAACATCTTCAGCGCAATATTTAACGTAAAGTGAAAGGATTTAAATTTCTTCATGAGTGATATAATTGCGTCTCCCAGTAACCAACTTCACATATGTATTGACCATTTTCTATTGACTTGGATTTTAAACTTTCTGGTCACCTGATTTACTTTTTATTAGTTGGTATATTTCGTCTATATTAACGTGTTTGTTAATTGCATTTCCGTTTGAGTACCAGGCTTCTAGGAATTCCCTGGCACTTTTGATGTTTCCTCTGTCTAAGATTTTGACAATTTATTTTGTAAATGGTATCAATTTTATCTCCTTTTTCTGTTGGATCTTTTGGTTTGCATAAAATCGAATTCAGCGATTTGACTGGCTTGTGTGTTATATCTATATCAAACGGTTTCAGTATTCCAGCTGTTATTTCAGAGATATTTCTCAAGTATGGTAGAGTGAATTTTCTTGTGGTCTTTGATGATGGTTTCTTGTTGGTGTTTTGATTCGACTTTAAACACTTTTTGATGAAATTTTGAGGATAACCATTCTTTTTGAAGACCGTTTGTAGGTATTTTTCTTCCATTCTTTTCAACACTGGAGTGCTACAATGTGTTTGAACTCTTTTAAACAATGTCTACACACAGTTTCTTTTGTGTTTCCAATGTTTTTAATGACGATTATTCTAGAATATTCTATGTATATAAACATATATATAATTGTAGAGCCAGAAGAGGAAGTTATCGAAAAGTATATTCTTAGGTCAGATTTTTGGTTTTTCTAAATGTCTGAATTTCTAAATTCCAGTAGGACTCGTCAGCTGAATACTCTACAAACATTATTGTATATACTAGTCCATCTGTGCGTCGGTGGCACAGCGGTAGAATGCTCGCCAACTACGCATGTAGTCCGGGGTTCGATTCCCGGCCGACGCACTCCTTTACCTCGCCAAGTCAGTAATAAGGCTGGTGAAGAGGGAAGATTGAGCATGAGGCTGGCTGGCAACCCCATCCCGTAAAAATAGATACCACTGCTACCGAAACTTCAAAGCTCTAGCTTGAAGCCCTATGTTCCACTGGGAACGTGAAGGAATAAAAAATATATAGACCAGTCCAACTTGATGCTTATTTATTGTAATCATGTTCTCTGTATTTGTATGGCGAATGTCAACCGTAGAAACTAATATAAATAAATCTTGTTTGTACAGTATTCACAGTTAACGCGAACTACTGAAATTTATGATTCGGAAAAGTGACGTGCTTTTGCCAGATTTGCAGCTCAGATTTGAAGGGGAGTGAGCTATCATCAGTACAATGAGAAATAGTGTGAATACAATAAACTTTTAATAGGATGACTACTGATCATAACAATGGTTCTCGAACTGATGTCAGTTTACGATATCTAACCTGAAAGTTTGTTATGGCTGACTGACTGACTGGTTTCAACATAGAACTACTTTGCACAGATGTGCAGCAGTTCGAGTTGCCACACTCCCTCCATGTAGCACACAAAGCAAGAGAAGAGAGTAAAGAAAGATTCAAAAGAAAGATAATAAACAGAAGTATGAGTGGGGCAAAAAGAATAGTAATATGGAAGAACAATAGAATTTTATTGGATATTGTAAATCACAAAGATAAAATGCATCTGCGCCAGCCATCATCGAGAACGATTTTGAGCCATATCACCAATTTTCTCCAGCCATTGGTTTTTACCATCCCGAGGACCCCGACCAGGAAGTCTACATCTCCCTACGTGGCTTAAACTAACTGCTGCACTCAGCTTAAAGAACAAGATTCTAACTTTCAACGCTAATGTCATGTCAGTGATTCCATATGTTTCAGTGACTTGAGGAGCTATAAAAACCCTTTCCTACAGGCTACTACAGACATTTATCAACATATTTTCCCTTCAGCCTCTGTCAACAAACCAACCAAGAACCTATTGACCAATAGATACGATGAAGAAAATGTAGATGGCTAACACACAGGCTGAGACTGTTGAGTGACACTACACGCCAGGATTACCCTCGAGTGGAACCCGAACGGAAAGCAACCAGCTGGGTATGTGTCCAAGGGGGGGGATATGGAGTAAATCTTGTAACGAAGAGATGAAAGCTTATATGCAAGCGTGCAGCCTAC